CATAAAGACCTGGGTGGTTGTCAAAATTATGGCCCCTTTTTGGGTCCCTATTATAATACGGCCCCTAATATTTAGGGTACCCCAAAAAGGGACCATAATTTTGACAACCAACCACCTGGTGATACTCTCCAAAACCCTACCCGTGCCTTGCACACGGTTATGCCCTTGTCGTCCGTAATCTCAGACACTGTGGCACCACAAAAGCCTCGCAAGGAAATTGAGCTCAACTGAACCCGCCCGCGGGGTCAGGTTTGGGGATCTAGAGGTTAGCTCAATTGCGAGCTGAGGTACTTATACCAATGGGTCACTACTGGGCTGCTCTCGCGGGGCAATTGCAGCTGTACCTACGGCATACTCCAGCATAACATCATCACCCAAGCAGGCTCTGAAATTGGTGAAGAGTTTCCTGCCGCAGGCTTGCAGCTGAAAAGGGGTGGCCACTGGTCTATATAGCTGCTTGGCTTAAAGCTTCATAGCTCACGAATATGCGCACCATTTTCCACAAGAACACTAGGAGCCATGATTTGGAACTTTGGGCATAGCTACAAATACGTTTTGAATTGTTCGGAATAGAAGCAGGGAAGGGATTAGGAGGACTTTCTACTTTCATACTTCCGGTAGTCAACTCCCAAATGTTACCCCATCTTCAGCTCGCCTTTGTTTCTTCCCAGCTGGTTTATCAACAGAACCTGTGTCCTTCTGCCTGTTGAAGTAGTTTCCAGAAAGCTGGTGCCCAAAAAGCTACCCCTGAAACGCGGGATTCCTTTCCATACAAGGACCTCCAAACATGTATCCCTCTTTTTCGGAAAAACCAACTCCCTTATCCACCTTCTAGCAGAAGTGCCGTCAAGTCGCCAACCTCACCCCATCCAAGCTTGGGATCTCTGGAGTTGCAGGAGATCTGGCGAGCATTCAAACCAGTGCCTGCAATTCATGGCATGTCATGTTCTCAATTATGCCATGAGCATTTGCAGTCATAGATCTATGTGTTTGTGTGTATCTATATAGAAGTCTGGATGCGCTGCCCAGGAATCGCGGGCCTGCACTGACACTTCAAATAGTGTGTTGCAGTATAGAATAGAACTTAACAGCGTCGAACGGAAGAGAGTTACATACCAGAGCAAGGGTTTTGTAGACGTGAAGGAAGCCTGGTAAATTGAGAGCCTGCACTGTGACGGCATGAGAGCATTCCATTTCGCTATTGTCATGCATGTTTTTTTTTAACCGGCAGAGGCACGCGGAAAAGTCTTGTTGGCTTGCGTCAACCGTATCCCCGCACAGTCCGTGAAACATGTTGCCCAAGATGCCTCTGAATGGGCGGATGTTCACGTCTTTGTCATCGAAAAAGTATGTGTTGCCCTTCCTCAGCCCGCTAATGCATACATGGAATTCGGTGGCTCGAAAATGTACCCTATCGAACACCCTTTCCATTACCTGGCTTCATGCTCGCACCTTTGGTTACGCAGGCCGCACAATCACAAAGCCATGAGCAGTCAGACCACGCTTCACCTGATGTGGTATATCCCAAAATAGGGGGAACCCAATCTAGACCCCCCACAATTATAATCCTTATTATAGCATCCAACCCAAAAAGGGACCCATAATTTTGGGGAACCCTCATGTGCCACCAGGTCTCGGAATACAAACTTCTTGCACTGCATACCTTGGAGCAGCTTTGGCAGCTTCCTCTGAAAAATCCATACCAACATGCAAAGGCTCCAAAATCTGAGATATGCACCATTCCAAAATTTGAAACACAGCATCCTGCTTGCGTCCATCTGGCTGTGCTACCACAAAAGGGGACCTCAAGCAGTAGAGCACCATGGACCTCTTGAAGAGTTTGCGTTGCTGCAGTGGCCTGATAAAACCATTTCCTAAGCTGCGGACAGGAGCTTCATGTCCTCAGATACATTTGCACAGCAAGCTGGCCCGGCAAACTTTCCGCTTTATCAGTCAGTGGCTGTGGCGCATCCATACTACTACTAAAATAATTGCTATAAAAATACAAATGATGGTAACAATAATACCATTCATGATAGTAGTAAGGATAGTAACTGGAGATCACAAGAGAGCCAGGTGGCACTCCATGCTGCATTGTAGGGCTTCATCTTGAAATTGTCCATGGCTTCACTGCGTAAAACCTAGCTCAGACTCAATATGCGAAGGCAACAGATCTGCAGAGACGCTCACCGTACTGGGCTGCGGTTTAAAAAACAAACTTACTTTCAGTCACTATAGACCACATTAATATATATATATATATGTATCCCCATTATGGTAACTTAACTTAAGTTCCTTAGCAGCACCCCAATGTAGCGTCGCTTCGCTCCTCACCACTTCAACTTAGGAGGCGGCTTTCTGAAGTAGCTCCTGGTTGCTCAGTGCAGCTTGCAGCTCACTCAGGGCAGAGAATAGGTTGAACTAGCTTTTTATTGGAATGTATTTACTTTCCCAAAAATAGGAATTACTATGGTTTCCCCAATATAGTAAGTAACATGGTTTTCCCAATGTAGTAACTTCAATTAAGGTGGTTCTGGTCAATCTCAAAGGGCTCAAAAGGTGGGATGAAGGAAGGTGGGGTATAGGAAGTAAGCCCCAATAGAGTAGAGTACATACTAAGGATCCTTTAACCCTTCATCCCACCTTTTGAGCCCCCTGACAATTTGGGCTGCAGCTTTTGGAGCTTGAACGCCGCAGCTTTGACGTGAGCGATGCCTGCCTTTGTGATACCTGGTGTTGGTGGAAAATCGGGACAGTGGGCAGTGTATCCGAGATGTGCCTTCCACCTCACTGCACCATCCGAGACTGATCATGTACCTTCCTTGCAGAAGTTCCTGGGAGCAGTCATTGCACCATATTCCATAAAGCGGTGTGCGCAGGGATATGAACAAGGGTGCTGCAAAGATGAATGAAGAAGCGCACCAAGCCCATGATGACCGCCATGGTTTTTAGCATGGGTAGCACTCAAACTCATTCTGCATCCAACCACAGCATTCGAACCCCAAAATAAACAAACCCTTGAGAAAAAAAAGAAAAAAAAACATCCCTCAGAAGCTAGCACATCTTATTGGGTCTCCGCTCCATCCTTGCGCTCTCTGGAGTTGGCACCGCTGCCATCTCCGTGCGAGCAGAGGCCCAAGTAGCACTTCTGGCAAAATGTCCCGGCCATGCCTCACAAAGGCTTGGGCTGCAAGTTGGTGTGCTAACACGACATAGCTTGGACCATGGTACCAAACATCACAATTCTGGCGAAATCTTTGGCTTGACGCTCTACTTCTGCTTTTCCATCTCCGGAATGCAACAGCAGCATTGACAGCCTCGCGCCTTGAAGATGCAGGCCCAGGAATCACCACCAGGGTTCAAATGCCAGGTACAAGGCGCATGCTTTGAACGTCCCGTGTCTTTCACACATGACTATGTTCCCTCTGTGACTCCGCTGTCATGCCCCTGTTGAGGGGAACCTCTTTCGCAACTTCGGCCGAGTTGCCCGCGGCTCCGAGGGCTGACAGCACCAAGTCACCGCCCCCATATGCGGTGTCAACGATGCCAGCAGACGGACTGGAACCAGGGCAAACATCCTGAAGTCTTTCGTAACTTTCGTAAGTAGCTCTGGCAAGGACCGATCACATCACAGCAGGTCGGCATCTCATGCGACTATGTATAAATCGACAGCTACGGGAAGCATCACAAAACAACAGTTGCATACAACTTAGTAGGGGCTAGGAAGTAAGGGAAAATAATCCCCCTACAACCCCTACGTAGTAGATCCCACCCCCCAACGTTGGGAAACCCGCACATACAGTAATCATGCGCAAGCCCTTGGCCAAGGCACCTGCTGACCTTGCTTAGAGGTCAACGTCCGGTCAATGTCGAAGACGCAAAGGCAAGCATCTGGTTGTTCCTTGCCCTCCTTGTCTTACTGCTGATACTAAAAATCTTCATGACCTCAATATACTGTACTACCATACTCCCCATTTACCTAGGGTCAAGATGCAGGCTTTTTAGTATCCACCGTCGGGGAATTCGTGAGGGAGCTGCTCCAAGGGAGCCTGGAAGCTGATGCCGTAACAGTCTTTAAAGGGAGTTTATATAAGGCATTATATAGGGGACTACAACAGGGGCTTATTAAGGGGATACTAGGAGTTCAGCACCCAATTTCCTACAATGCTTCCCAACACTCTCTCAGTTACGAAACTGGCTGCCCCCTTCCACCAAGCTCCCTCAAGGATCCGCTGCGCAAGATCACGTCTGAAGAGTTATGCCCTCCAAGCAACCAAAAGTGTTTTAGGTTGACAAGATTCGCAAGTAGGAGCTTCCCTTTCAGGAGCTTTGCTTGGCTGCCGCACAGGGCCCGGGCAGGGAGCGCTGCAGGGCTTCGGGCACTTCGCAGGGTTGGCCTTGTAAAGTTGGCATTGGAAATCTGCCATGCCTTGGAGCATCAAATGAGCCATATTCAAGGGTTTGGCGTTTAGGGTTTGGGCTTTGGTGTTTGGGGTATAATGTTTAGGGTTTAGGGTGTAGGGTTTGGCGTACTATGGCTCCAATGAAGCTACATCTGGGGCACAAGTAGTCTCCCCCTAAGATGAACCCCCCCCACCCCCCAATAAAAAAAACTCCCACTGTGGTATATTATAATATATTGGGAATGTTTGATGTTGGGGTGGGGGGGGAGGGTTTCATATCAGGGGGAGGGGATAAATTTGGGCACTTGTACCTGTAATGCTTGGTATCATCTGCCGTAGGCTTGGAGCAGGAGGATGCTCAGCCCAAGCCTAAAAGGACAGTATGTGGGTTGTTCCAAAATTTCGAAATTATGGTCCGATTTTGGTATCCCCGAATATTAGGTGTCCATGCAAGCAAAGAGGGGCCATCATTGTGACAACAGACCATGTGCAGGTTGCAGCCTTCTGCCGACTCGGTACTACGATCTGATTTAAACAGCTTGAGAAGAGATTGATTGAGCTATTCACCTGAGGCGAAGTCAGGTCTACAAAAGCGTTTCAGAAGCGCAGCCTCTCCAAGTAGCTTCAGCAACACCAAGAAAACCCATCTTCATTATCACGGCAACAGGCCTGTAGGAGCAGGAATGTTTCAACACACTAGTGATATCTAGCATGCTACATATAAAGTGCAATATGCGTAGGATAGGATATTACATGGTTGAAAGCTGTTGTTTTCTTACCCTGCCAACTAACATCAACTAACCTATTCCTCGTATTCATGCTGAAGTAAGCTTCAACCTGGTGCGCCGCAAGACCCCAAATTGTTTGTCAACTATGCCAAGAGTCTGGACTCAGGTGAAAGCCCGGGATACCAATCAGGATGTCCACGGATACCCTCATTCTTTGCCCAAACAACGTCGACTAAGCAGTCACCGGATCTGACATCCTGACACCCCTCATCCGCATCCAAATGCTCTGCCATCTCGCCTTTCAGTTGGATTGCTTCGAGTGCACACTCTCCACTTTGACATTCATCATCGATCTCCAGTGCTGGCAAGGTGGCGCTGGCAAACGGTAGGCACAAACAAAACCAGTGCAGTGGCAGTTTGGCCGAAAACATCGCTGCAATAGGGAAAAGAGACATGGAGAGTTCGTAGCTGCACATGGCAAAGCAGGCGATGTTAGTTTGAGGTAGAGATATGGCCACAGCAGACAGCCACAGCATTCCAAAACATGTCCTATTCCTATTCTTGCGGATTTCCTGGACTGCATGAAGCATCTCTTTTTGCTTGTCAGGATCTGCACAGGTAGCGACCACCAGAAGGTGGGGTATCGCCGTGAAAGCTACTGCGTGCTGCATTTGCATGCAGGCACCCACGGTCTCACTCCAGCTAGATGGCGAATAGTCTATTTTCGTGCGCAGTGCGTGACATGGCAGGGTCCGTGGTCGCTGTATCCATGACACATCGAGTCGTGGAGCTAAGTGGTTTGAGGCTCCACGTCCAAGAAGTGCAGAGAGTGCTCTGGCAGAGGATCCATATACGGGTCCAAGATGAAGAGGCGGGCGGCTAGAGATGATGCTGGTTGCAGCAGTTCGCTAGGTCACGAAATCTCACGAATGCGGAATTGTCTCCTGCTCGAGAAGCTTGACCGGCCAAATGTGCAAATCTGATATGTTGGTCAGATGCCGGCTTAAGCCGATCTTGATGCACAGCTGCCGGCCGTGCCTTGCAAGCTTAAACCAATGTAGCCAAACGGGCAAGTGATCGGCGAAAAAAGCCTAGACTAAAGGCCGGCCTATGCAATTTAACTCGTTATCTTTTATTTGCTACGGAATCGTTTTCTACTCTTTTCAATTTCGTTTCCCATAATCTGGCACATGCGATAAATCGCATCAATTCTAATATAACCGTAACCCTACCCGAGCTTTTGTCCCAGCTCAGGCACAGTGGGACCATCTTGGGGGCCGAGTCTACAAGATGAATGTGCGGCATGATGCACCCCATTGTGCCACCTTGCCCTATTGTGCGGGTGCATTTGCCTAAATCCAGGATGCACTGCCACCCCAGGACACACGAACAAGTAAAACCCTAAACAATAACCCCTAAACCCCAGGGGTAGAAGCAGCACAGCGCCACAAGGACCGCTTCTACCAATTTCTTCTCGGCTGCAGGTCGCCGATCTGTCCACAATGGTCGTGGACAACTGCGTTCCTGACTGCCTCGCCTTCAACCTTCGCCCCAACTCACTAAGAAGGCTTGTTCTCAAGGTTTCTGGGCTTTCAAATATCACATTGTCAGGCTACAGGGCCCTGAAGGTGCGCATGGTTGCTGTTGCATTTGAGAGGCTATGAAGGCCACATGCGACATGCTGCCGGCGATGCAGGCCAACCAGTTCCCGTAGGAGCGTACGTGCGGCAGCAACGGAAACTTCATGTCAACGTCGCTCCTTGCCGGTCCACAACATCTCAAACAACCGAAGCTCTGCCGGTACCCGAATCACGACAAACCCCCTCATTTTTAGTCAAGCTGCCATGCTTTGCCACGGCTGTTGTTCAGGCCTTGCAGGTTCAGGAAGAAACGGAACGAGCAACATGCAGACTCTAACATCTTGTAACTGCACAGCTGAATGGCGCCCTTTGAAGAAGTGGCAGGCAAGTTTAATGCCCTTGCAACAGATCTACGCAAACGTTATCAAACATTGAAACTAGCAAGAAGTACCAGCGGCTTCTAAGGGATCCTTCTTCTGAGTATCCACCTTACTTGGGCCTGCATACTTCTCATGGTCTTCTGACTTACTGAAAATTGAGTACACCTTAGAACTGCAATAGTTACTACTACCACTACCACCATTGGTACCCTACCTACACACATCTACGCACTGCGCACCCAGACCTGCAGGCTCGTACATTGAGCACCACTCCATCAGTGTCGGAAGCCGCTCGTTAGACCTCTCAGTCGCCAAACCTCTGGCAAGGCGCCCATAACGCCATAAGTCGAAGTCTGGATACCTCGAAGAGGAATTGGATAGGGATTCCGAACGCAGTGCGAGAGGACTCTTGGGGGTCATGAACTGCTGCAAAAACATTAGGTGAGGATTAGGCTCTGCAGTTTTGGTCGTTTTAAAGAGACAGCTGCATCACAGCCTCGCAAAACATAATCTCGGCTCATTTTGCTGTGTTTGGGTTGCCATGGCCGTTGCAGGTGCTTACATGGTCAAAACGCTCCCAGCCCAAGATGTCGAGACATCTCTCGATGCAGGCGGATGGGCAATCATATCGGCGGAAGGCTTTCGAGTTCTGCTAAATTTTGTATGCTCCAACACCTAAACCAATTGATTGCGGGGGCAGAAAGATCTGGAGACATCTGCAGGATGCACGAGCTTGGAGTCTTTCACTATTCCACAACACCACGCAATCAAGGTGAGAGCTTCTTAGATGCACTCCAGCTACAGAGTGAAGGAGCGTCCGAGGATGCATCCACGTAGGTGCTCCAAATCCCAAGTAATTCTGGAGCTCCACTCACTCTGCGTGCAGGGCTCGTACAGAGGCACATTGGCAAGCTTGCGGAACTGCTGGGACCTCGGCTTGTCAAGGGGATCTTCCTAACTTCTTCTGCAATCTTTCTAGAACCCGCATCTAGAAGTGCCTGGCAAGTATGTCGCACGGTATCCCAGCACCTCTACACATTTTGGTTGCATCTAGCTTCCAGGTGGAACTTCCTACGCTCTTCCTCTCCGCAGTTCCCGTTCTTTTACCATGATCATGCACCTGAACCCTGGGCACAAACACAAAGCATTCTGAAGGGCATCGGTGCACTGTAGCTCAACGCCAAACCCCGGCTCGAATCGAAAACAGGCGGCCGAGAAGTTGGCAAAGGCACAGGTGTGCTCAAACCTGAAAGCTTGATTTATCATACAACCCAGCGACAGTTCCTTGGTGCGAGGATTTGAAAGACAATGACCGCACGCCATGTTAGGGGCCTGTATGGTCTTAGCATGAGACGTCACAAGCAAAGATGGGTGCTTATGAGTGCGGATACTCTGTTTGTGGCACGTTTATGGGCGAGTGAAGAGTAGTGGGTAGCCAAGTCACATCCATGTCTTCAAGCTCTCGTCTGCCTGGCAATGCACGCACGCCATCACAAACATTCCCGTCAGGACGTTTGCAGCAACAGAACGCAAGCAAGATGTTGATTCAGTTTCTCCCACTTCCATTCCCTCTAGAGAAGTGAACCACAACACCAAGACATTCGTCGATGGCAGCTCCTGAAAAGAAACCCAGCCACAGTTCAAAGCAACTGGAGCCGGCAAAGCAGGACTGATACTGCGTACAATCCCCTAGTAGAAGGAAGCAGGCATCCTGGAGACCACCACTCGAAATGCTTAGAGAGCCAAGGACTATAGGCCAAACTCAGGACGCACTGCTCAGCAGGCCGTGGGAAAAGAGGGAAAAAAACACCGGAGGGAAAAACCTCACTTTACAGACAAGGCCATCACGCTGCGAGCAAAGGTCCTGCCTTGGAGGGCCTGCTGGAACCGGACCATGTCTTCAACAGCTGAACCTCTGTGACAGGTTTTGATGGTAGGGAGTCCCCGTCATACTCAGCGACCCAGTTTGCACCACCACGCGTCTTCCAGAACTCCATGAAAGCACCTCCCGCACAAATGTAGCCTTAGCTCGGCTGGATGCCTGACAGCTATTACTGAGCAAGGGGGCTCTTCATCAGTTTCATGGGCGCAGATGACGTAGGATGTAAGGGAGCATGAAGCAGATAGAACCGCGTGAAAGCCATCATAAACTCGTAACATCCATTAGCCTCATGACTCATAAGTGATAAACATCTTCAAGTCCCGGCACCAAGCTGGCGTGATGGACTTGAGTGGCAGATTCTCAGGGCGTTGTCCAGCATCTGCGGCGTCAGCTCAAACCCCGCAGTGCCATTGCGCACTCGCTCGCAGGTCGGCCGGCCCGTATAGGCTGATCGCTGTCCTTGACGAAGGTTGTGCTACGACCTAGTGAGGACATGTAAGGAAGACCCTCCTATCCTCTTTGCTAAGAAGGGTGGCCAATCATGGGTTGAGAGATAATATCCTTCACATCCTTTGCCTAAAAAGTAATAGTAGCATTAAAAAGAGTAAGAGTAATAATAGCAATAACATTATTAGTCTAGTAATAATGGTGACCTGCCTTCATCAAGCCCCAGCGCAATGCCCGCCAGCATAGCGCCATGCCCAAAGCCGTGAATGCAGTGCACGAAGAGGCCTGGCAGATCCTGTCCAGGACAGAATGAGAGGTTGCTTTGGCATCGAAAATTGCAAGATGCCGTTGCGACTGATTCACCTTTTCCTGCAGAAAGGAAAGCATCATGCCTGACAGCCTTGAGAGCAGATCAGCACGCACTGAATTAAGCTCGACACATGACACAGCCAGGGCAGGCTAAGGCTACAGACATGATGAGCCAAACGCACCAGGTTGCCTTACAAAATTGCGTCACTCTTTCTATGATAGAAACCGCTCCAAAACGTGAGACTGCCTTCTACAGGCCTGTGGTCCATTGGGGATGGGGTCCCCGCACCTTAAAGCCGAGGCAAATTCTTGTCATTGCGAAGCTCCAGAGACCAGACCTGAGTCCCGACCACTATATAAAAGGGGTTGGTAATAATGAATACTCAAATATACTATAACTTTTCCGTTTTTCCGTTATACCCATTTTAGCCCGATATACTATATAGTAGTTTTCATTTTATTTTCCATTATCTTTATATATAAAGGATTTAGAGTCACATCCAGTCACATATACACATACGTAACACGCTGAGCAAATTTGGAACGGAGTGTCTGGGTTGAACTGCGCTCACACTAGCTGACGGTTTTCTAGGAGTTGGCTTCCGATGAGTACTGTGTGCTATCACCCTCGGCTGCTTTCAATCTCACAATCAAAAGCTCGCTGTGCATGCTGTGCAAGATAGAAGCAGCTTTGCAGTCGACTGCATGCGAAAAACCGGCTCGGCTGAAATTGGATCCAAAAAGCGCATTGGTCCACTTTGAGGCCTCGTCGCACTGGCTTGGGGCACGGGGGTAATGGCTTCTACGGACAGACACCAGCTAGGAGCACGCTGAGGCAACGCTTTAACACCCGTGCCAAGCTCAAACTCAGGCGTGTTCCTGGGCTGAAACACTGCTGCCGCACTGCAGCCCTTGTGGTCATGTCACGGTTCAAATTGCAACTAGTTAAAGACACTGCTGTCACCTCATCTATGCAAGGGGAGTCCCTAGAGACCCTTGGCACAATTAACATTGAAGAGGAAGAGCCCGGCCAGCTGAAGGGCTTGCAGGTGCAATAGTTAAATACGGCCTCTTACTGTAGCTGGCGTAATTGTTGTTTTCCCAAAGGCAGAGTCAGTGTTTCACCTTAAGCATGTTTTGCGCATTGGGCTGGCTTGGCCATGGCTCGAAAACTGCGCAACCGCTGTGGTCCAAAACCCCACGAAATGCAGAGTGACAGTGACTTTAACTATGCAAAATGTACAAGAAGAACCAAACACGGGCCAATCTGAACCATGGGTTATATAGGCATCCATGATAATAATGGAGAACCAAATGAAAAGGAACACGGAACATTAAATGGAAACTATGCTTAACCCCCCGCCCGCCCCCTAACAATTTATCTTCCCCATTCTTCCCACTAATATGCTAGTTTCCCTAAATAGGGGGACCCCAATATAGACCCCAGAATACTTTAGTCCTTATTATGGGGACCCCCAAGAAGGGTACCCCTAATTTAGGGAAACCCCCATACATTCAATGGTACTATGCTTGGAGGGCAGGGGGACTCAGTAAGGTAAATAACCCCTATAGCAACCCAGGTTATGGTCCGTGTTAACCTACTTACGAAGTCCCCCTGACCCTCCAATTATGTAATGGTACTATGGTGGGGGTTATATGAGCTATAGTCTAAACTCCTAGCTATATAATCCCCTATAGTACCTCCCTTTAAACAATTTAGAGTATAGTTCATATGCCCCCCCCACCCCCATTTTGCAAGGCTCAGGCCTCCAGGAAGGCAAGCATGGCCGTCCAAGTGACTGCATGCAGTGGCGCACCGCCAAGCTTCAAGGAACCGGCCACTTCCACCTTGCAAGTAAGGGTGGGGGGTTTAGGGCTAGGGCTTTGGGTTTAGGGTCTATAACCCAAGTTTTCATGTTCCATGTTCTTCTCAATTTGATACCTCCTTCATCTGACGGATCCAGCCTGATTAAACCCTGCACCCTACACCCATGGTTCTCCATCAGCTGTGGAGGCCGGGCCAGCTGTGCAAGGGCTTCAGGGCAGCAGGCGATGCGTTGCGGGCCCACGTTTCTCAGAACCGCGGGTGATATGAGGTCCATGAGAGTTATGGAGAATCAAATGGAAAAGCAAATGGACACTGCACTGGAAACTGGGGTAATGCGTCCCTCCCAATCCCCCTCACAATGATTATTCTTCCTCGTATATATAAATGTTTATAGATAGATATAGTGGTACGTTCTTTGGGGTTTGTCGGCATCACATGCAAATTGCGTATATCTATACCTGGCTCGATGCACAGGCAGCTTCCTGACAAAGATTCAGGGCCCTAAACCCTAAACCGTGCAGCGAAGCTTTAACCACAAGCAGTTGCATGTTCTGATAGGCATTCTTATTGTAAGAAAGTTAAATCCCTTACTAAACCCGAAACCCCAAAAAGTCACATGCTTTCCAAAATTGTTTCCCAAAATCAGGGGTACCTTTATAGGGTTTAGGGATTCGGCTTCCCCAAAACTAGGTGTACCTTGTTATTGGGGGTCCCCATAATAAAGACTATAGTATATTAGGATCTATGTTGGGGTCCCCTTGTTCAGCCAATGTACGTCAAACAGTACTGCGTAACCTTGTTACAGCCAGCTCTCATGGGACAAACTCGAACAAACTGTCCACATCATTTCCAAACAGAGCAGTCTTCGCCCAAAGCGGAGCACCGCAGAAACGTAGAAGAGCTAAAAAGGGCTGCTTAGCCAAGCAAGGTGCTGCGTGCCAGAGGTAGCCGCTGTCGTTCCTCACTTGGGGCACACTTCAATGAGACGCTTATGGTACTGAACTCCATGCCCTTGAGCATCACGAACACAGCGGTTTTCTGCAATCAAGCAGCAGCAGCAGCAAACTTGGGTCGAGGCGTGCAATTACGAAAGCACCCAAATCATGCTTCCAGTCGCCCGAAATATCCAGAAGACCACTCGAGAAGTCGTTCAAGTTAACTCCCCACACCTGGAAGTGCAGAATTAGCATCCCCGCGTTAACATGTGTCTGCAAGCTATTGGTTTGAATGCTCCCCACCTCGCCATAGTCATGTTCTCTAGCCTGCTCCATGCCCGACATCAAGTCGATAAGCCCGTTCATTCCGACTTTGGGCAACCATTCAGCTATCAGGTGGCACAAGTTCTCATGGGCATCTTCTGGCTCACCCTTCTGGAGCAGACCAATGAGATCTACCATGTTCTGATGTGCGGTTGTTGAATTCGGATCCACCCATAAAGGGTTACTGCTCGAAGGTCTTAGTGAACCAGGATCGCCAGATGTGCCTCCGTAGAAGCGCCCCCAGTTGCACAAGGCATGCCGCATGTGCTGTGGGCACTCTGGCGGTCGAAGCAGTCGCATCAAAGCCAACCAGGTTGCTGAAAGCAGCGGAAAGATGCAGCAGATAAAGAAGAGCAGGGAAACCGGCAAAGCAATGCCGGCCACCCAGAACATCTGTCGCCGACTGCATATTCTGCTTGCACTCTCACTCCTCTGTTTCTCACTTATGCACTTTTTGATAAGCCGCAGCCTATACGTCAATGGGTGCACAGCTCCAACCAGTTTTATGGTCACGCAACTTT